CCTGGAGAGCACACGTGCCCTATAGCAAAAATCTCTCAAAAAAAAAAATCTCTCTAAAAACAAGCAAACAAAAGCCACTTTGCTTGGGGTGTAAATGGAGCCTCAAGTAATAATGATCATATATCGTGTATAATAGTCAGTTTATCATTTTCCATGTGGTAATGGTGTAAGTGCTCACATGTTCACACTTCTATGAAACAGAGCTGTTCTTTCTCCCCTTTCAGTGGCCCATATATTGCCCAGAGAGGTTAAGTGACTTGCCCAGAGTCACACAGCTACAAAGGCACAGAGCTGGGATTTGAACCCAGATTTCGTACTTTTTAATTTTGCTATAGGGTGCGTACACTCACTGGAGAGCTACGGATAGGGAAAATAAGAAAGTACTTCTTGGGGGGATGGCTACACTGCAATCCCTTCTCCTCTTGGGGTTTTGGGCACACATGCACATGTGCCTGGTATGTATCCCAAGCTGCCGGGTCTGTGACTCGAACTAGTCAGTTGGCCATGTGGAATCCAGCTGCCTTAAACACCATGCCATGGGCTGGCCTCCAAGTCTGTGTGTTTTGTTTTGTTATAGGGCACGTATGCTCACCAGAGAAACAGCAAGAAAACACCCCCAGGGGAGATGGCCACACCGCAATCCTTTCTCCTCCATTCTCCTCTCAGGATCTTGGGCATGCACGCACATGTGCCAGGCATGAGTTTTAAGCAACCGGGTTCAGGATCTGAACCACGGTCAACTATGTGGGAGCCCAGAGACATAGCCATTACACCACCTGCTAGTCCCGAGTCTGTGTTCTTAACCACCATTCTCCAGCACTAGCCAGGCTGTCCACCCTAGTCAGCACCCTAACCGCCTCTCATAAAGAAATTCTGAGACTGTGATGGTGGGGTGGGGGCTCCTGGGTCTTGGGGTTACCCAGGGCCTAGGGTACTCACCCGTCAGGTGGGCTGGCAGTCCAGAGTGTCCCTGGGACCTCTCTGGGGGTGGGTGGCTCCCTCCGCAGATCCCCAGCAGGGCCCATGCTAAGGTCAGATGCAGAGCGCAGGCCAGGCCGCTGGGTTGAAGGAGGCCTCTGCAGGCCATGTCCACCTGAGACAAGAGGAAGCCGGGGTTGGGGGTGAGGTTCAGCCATCCCTTCTGGGTGTTCGAGATGTCAGACCCAGAAAGAAGTGGCAGGCTGAGTCAAGGGTGGGCTGATAATGGGGAGGCCAGGCACTGACCAGGGTCCTGCAAACTTAGGGAGGCACAAGAATTGCCTCTAACCCAGGAGCCTCCCACCCCCACCCAGGTGCCCTCTCTCTTCTCCAGCTTAGACACGGTGCACCCCCAGCCACAAGTCTCCCACCTTGCTGGCTCTTCAGTGACCCCCTTTCTCCTCCAAAGGGACCTCTTTCGACCTCCCAATGCCTCTTTCCTGTCCAGCAATTCCCCTGTCTTCTCCCAGCGTCCCTTCTCCCTCTGGATCCCTGCTGGCTCCTCTCACGGTCACCTTCTCTCTGCCCACAATCGGCTTAGGAGCAGCCCTCCGGGGCCCAACTTGGCGTGGTAGGGTTCCAGTTCTGCAGCTGGGGTCCAGAAGGGGTAGGGTATGCTTGGAGTCTGTGTAGACAAAATAATTCCCCTCTGGCTTCCCCTGGGCAACTCACCTGTTAGCTGGACTGGGGTCTAGGGGCTGCTGAGACTCCTCTGGATCAAGCCCAGGAAACACCGACAGCCCAAGGGGCGTGGCCTCTCATACGGGGGCGTGGTTTCTAAGTGCCCGCCCCCATTCAAGCTCACCAAAGGCTGATGGACATGGGGAGGGTGTCAACTGTGCACCTGCTCCTACGTGGAGCTTGTGGCTTAAGCTCTATATCTGTGTATGGAAAGTGTGTGTGTGTGTGTGTGTGTGTGTGTGTGTGTGTGTAATCAAAAAGAATCTGCGTGAAGAGAACTGTACATGTCCTGAGCCATGAGTGTGTGGCTGAGAACCCATCATCATAAATATCAGAGGGGCCGGCAGGTGGCATGGTGGTGAAAGACGCTGGACTCCCACATGGCCAACCACAGTTCGAGTCCCAGACCTGGTGGCTTTCTCTCGCTCTATCTAGCTTTCTCTGTCCCTCTCTGGTCAAATTAAAATAAATACATACATAAATAAAGTTAAATAAAATAATTCTTTAAAAAATAAAATAATTCTTTTAAAAATATAAGTAAATGTTGGGGCCAGCAGTTAGCATAATGGCTATTTTGCTGGACTCCCACGTAGTCGACCACGGTTCGAGTCCTGGACCTGGTGGCTTAAATTCATGCCGGGCGCCTGTGCGTGCATGCCCAAGATTCCGAGAGGAGAATGGAGGAGAAAGGATTGCAGCGTGGTCATCCCCCCTGGGGGGTGATTTCTTACTTTCTGTCTCTCTGTCTCTCTCTGTCTATCTGGCGAGTGCATGCACCCTCAAGCAAAAACCTTTCCAAAAAAAGAAAGAGAATATATATATAAATGTCATAGGGCAGGGTTAGGGTTAGGATCAGGGTAGGCGTTCCTACAGAAGAGTGGTAGGTAAGTCAGTGGCTAAAGGGTGTTGACCGACAACAGTGACCACGAGCGAACAAGGGAATGCTGATCAGGGGCCAGTCAGGGTGTGTGTTTTGCAGCTGTGATGTGTGTGTGTGCACATGTACACATGCTTCTGTGCTTCCTGCAGTTTACGTGTGTCCCTGGAGAACAATCCGTCCATGTATACAGCAAACACGAAGCTCCTACTGTGTGCTATGCTCTGAAGATGCTATAGTGACTATGTCATGAACATCTCTGTCTTCATCGAGTGGGACAACCAGAGGAAAGTGACCCTGCCGTGGGTATGTGCGTGTCTGTCTGTCCACCTGTGGTGTTGGGAGGATAATGTGTCTATGGGTTGGGTGAGAATTTGTGTGCAAATAGACCTCCCTTGAGCCAGTAGGTGGTGCGGTTATTAAGGCACTGGACTCCCACATGGTCAACCATGGTTCAAGTCCCGGACCTGGTGGCTTGAATTCATGCCGGGTGTATGTGTGCGTGCCTGCCCAAAATCCTGAGAGGAGAATAAAGAAGGGATTGGGGAGTGGCCATTTCTCACTTTCTCTGTCTCAGTCTCTCAGGCAAGTACACGTGCAAAAGAATCTCTTTTTTTTAAAAAAGGTGCCCCTTGGTTTTGGAACTATGTGGCTGTCCTTGTGTTTGTTGAATGTTTTTATTTTTGCATTCAATGAGTGTTTTTATTTTTGCATTCAATGTATGCAATTGTTTTCTGTGCGTGTGTAATTTTCTTTTTTTCTAGAAGAATTATTTTATTTAACTTTGTTTATTTATCTTAAATTTGACCAGAGAGGGATAGAGAGAAAGAAAACGAGCTAACAGGTCTGGGACTCGAACCGTGGCTGGCCATGTGGGAGTCCAGCGCCTTAACCACCGAGCCGGCTGCTGGTCCCCTCTGCATGCGTGTGTTTGTAATGACCACCACCAGGACGCTGTCTTCCTCCTGCCACAGAGCAAGGCAGAGTTCTTGTCTATCTTGTTCGCTGCTGTACCCTCAGGTACCAACACAGTAACTTGCACACAGCGGGTGCTCAGTGAGTGTTGAGTAAATGAACAAATCAGTAGATTTTGTTTCTGGGTCCCTCTGTGATCACCCTAGGGTGTCCTGGAGGCCTCAGTAAACAAGACCTACTGGACCTCGCCTTCGCCTGATCATCTTGAGTGATCCAGAGCGCCCGTGAGTCAGACCTGCCTAGCCTCGGGCGATCCTCGCGCCAGAGCCTACGCCTCCCCTCCTTTCCCCTGACCTTAGCCCCTGAACCCGGCGCTCCAATTTCAGCACCGCGGACAAGAGCGCGCTAGGTCAGCACCACGGAGAGGTCCCGTGGCCGCCGACGTGAGCAGAGTCCAGATGGTGGAAAAAGGGGACATTCCAAAAAAAAAAAAAGGAGGACATTCCAGCAAGGGACTTGGAGAGACGGCTACACACACGTGCCAACAAACGGAGATAGAGAGACGCAGAGAGATAACTCAGGCAGAGACACATAGATGAGAAGACAACTGGGAAACACGAGGACCCAGACCTCGCTGCCGGCTGGGTGGTCCGGCAGGGGTCGCTCTCGCCCAGAAACCGCGCCCTCTGGGGCCTCCGAGCCAGTTCACCAGCAGCGACCTTCGCAAAGCCCTTCCCTATATGGTCCCCAGAGCCAAGGTTTGGAGAGGAGAGGGCTGGGAGCTCTTCTCTCCAATTGGGGGATGCATGCGTGTGGACTCTGGGAAGGAGGATGGGGAGCTGAAAATCGCTTCATCGCCCCGGTCCCCAACTACCAGCTAATCGTTCCTATAAATACAACCAGGCCTGGCCTGGCTCCTTAATCCTGATGGGGGGGAGGGGTTGCAGGGGGGAGGCTCTGTTTGGGGGAGTCAGGGTGGGCCTGGGGAGAAGCCATACATATGCATATAA